AGTAAGAGCTAGAATATGAAAGGTGGTAAAATGGTTCTAATTGCTTACCACCTGCTTAAAAATAACATATGTGCTTACATAGAATGGTTAGTTAATGAACTAATGATGACTGCTAATGAAATTGAATATAAGGAAGCACGCTTAGTAATGCTTCCGCAGATGCAATAACCCACAAGCCAGATAGCCTTGCATATTCTTGGAGTCATTTATTTTCCTCCTGTCGGGTAAGTCTTGCTGAGTACAATCGAGTACTCAGGGTTTTATTCCCCCTGTTGCAGGTGATCGAAGGATACATAGAGCTGACCCTTGTGTGTGGAAACCTCCTGGTGGGCTCAGATAGGATTTCTTTCCCGCTACGACCGTAGTGTTTATTTATAACCCTCACTAAAGGTTTTTATAAGAAAAGATATAAAATCTGCTAGCATCTCTTGTATGAAAATGTCCACTATGTTAATGCTCCACCATGTCATTAAATTAATCTTGCTTCCTCTGTAACTCTAATAACATTGTTATATTCCGCTATTATAATAAATCGAGGTAATATTATGGTACTGTAATAAAGTGATGCAAGAAATGACTTAAGAATGTTGTAAACTTTATTCTCTCATTTACGATCCTGATGGAAAAATATGAATTTTTGAGTTCTCCCTTAGGGTGTGCTCGACGGAACTGCGTAGTTTAGTGTCATCTCTTGAGTACTTAGTGTCTAATAAAAAACAAGTACTCCCGGGAGACATTGGATTAGGCGGTTCTGCCACAAACATATGTCTAAAAGTAGTTGAAACATTTGAGATATGCACTTGCAACATGTGTGTGAAACACACGAAACATCCAGATTTGCAACTTGCAACATGAAACCACTTGCTGCAACATAAGACTGAAACAACCGAAACATGTGTGAAACATATGCAATATCCAGATAAAAAAATATTGCAACAGACGTCTAGAAAGTGGAAACGGATGAAACATTTTGAACAAACACTTACAACATGCCTCTGAAACACTTTCAACATATAACATGTGCAACATCCCCCGATCTACTTTTGCACAATCAAGATGAAATAATTGCAACATACATATGAAACACTTGAAACATACATATGCAACATAGGGGAGGGAAGGCCGGGCCAATCGGTTCCGATCGTCGGGGTGGGAGCCGCCGGCGAGCCGAGGCGTGCGAGCACCACCAGCACCGGCCACGCTCGTGGGTGCCCTTGGCTCGACCGGGGAAGACCTGAGGCGCCACGGCACGTGTGCGCCAGCGGCCATGGCAGGGTCAGTGACACGCCCAATGACGGCAATGGGTGACAGACGAACAACGAGGGAGCGAGCGACACAGGTGACTGCCACGCAGGTGAGCGGCGCAGGGAGCGAGGGCGCGTGGCGCGCCTACGATGGGGGAACGGCACGGCGCGACAGCCCGACAAGCGCGCGCTGGGGAAGGGGGCGGACGGATGAGCAGCTACGCCGAGCGACGCAGGCGTGGCTGCCACATAGTTGAGCGGTGCGGGGAGCGAGGGCACGCGGCGCGACCGGCGACGAGGAAAAGAAACGGCGCGGCAGCCCGACGAGCGCGCGCTGGAGAAGGGGGTGGACGGATGAGCAGCCACACTGCATTGGGGTCGGGCGGATAAGCACGAAGGAGTGGGTTGTGGGATCGAGAGGGATGGGCGGATAAACACAAGGAAATGGTGATTTATTTTTTTGTTTGGGGCCCGCTCCTGGGGAGCCGTGTCCGAACGCAACGTCACGGATGGACGCCCTGCAGGAAGTATTTCCGATAAAACTAAGATTGGGTTGAAAATCTTCTCTCCCATACCTCAGTTTCAGTTGATGTTGGATTTACACTCAACTCAGTCTCATATCCTGCCACCATGGTTGCATCAATTATTTTGATGAAATTTCTAGGAAGAATTGGTGTAACAAAAAATTTAGATGTGGGAAAAGAATAATTCAATTGATTCTTACCACACCCTGTTTGGATGACGCAGTTTTAGAAAACTATAAATCACAAAACTGTAGTTTTACAAAACCAAAAGGACATAGATCGTGGTTTAGAAAAAGAGATCAACAAGCTGTGAGTGTAGTTTCTGAAACTCTAAAAACTACAGTTTTAATAAAACCATAGTCTTAGAGACAACAAGATTTGTTGTATCCAAATACCTAGTAGCTTCTGAAAACCAAAGTATTTTCTAAGACCATTGTATTTCTTCAATACTTTAAAATACTTTGCATCTAAATAGGGCCTTAATCTGGATGTTGAACTCCTCTTAAACACATAGATTTTTTTCTTATAATATGCTCTCAAATCCATTTTTCACCAGGAATGGATTAATATACCCCCTCCCCTCGCAATCAATAAAAGAAGGCCTATGTTTTGGTGGCTCAGTTGAACCTTTTGGTCCAGCTATTCCCTCGGTCCTAAATAATATAGTTTACTTGTGCTTATCCCAAATCAAAAATCATTTGACTATGGTAAAGTTTATAAAAAGTACTCCAATATCTAGAACATTTGTTCGATTTTACCAAGTTCTCTAGAAATATATGTTATAATATATATATTTTTTTAAATGACTTAGGAAAAAACCAAACTATAGCTTAGGAACGGAACTGAGTACATCCTTTGATTCCAACGGTGGAGAATGCCCAATTTTCTCCTAACGGTACAGTTACTCCCTCCGACCTCCTTTCCCTCCTCAAAAAACTGCCCTCCACCTTTCCAAGGCCTTCCCTAAGAGCGTCCTCAATGACAACTTTTAAATAGCTAGATTGGGCTTAAAAATAATAATAAAAAATACACTGTAGTGGAGAGTTATTTGAGCTGTGAGAGAGTTGTTTATAGGAGATCATGCTAGACTAGTTATTTGAGAGTCGCTAGCTATTTAATATCTCTCTGATACACACTAGAATTCTTTTTAGACTAGCTATTTAGGAACCATTGGGGACGCCCTAAGTCTAAACCTCAAGACCAAGTGGAGCCTACCGGAGATTGGAGCCCAAACCGACAAATCCTAGACACTCGTCCTAATTGTTGTTGCTCAAAAAAAAAAGCCCTAATTGCTTGCTAAAAGAGGAGGTCGTTGTTGGAGCCTTACAGTTGATGAAGGAGGTCATAAGCCTGAATCCCAGCACAGATCCGTCGATCTAAAATTCGGGTGAAAAATCCCAAGTCTTTAAAAACCATGAGGTAGACTACAGTCCATACAAGAGGGACAGTGACCGGAACCTAATTAGAAACGTCAAACCAAGCCTCCATGCAATGCAATGCCAGACAGGAAGTCCAGGCAGGCCCTCCCCTTCTTGGCAACATTGAGGTGGTCTTGCATTTCCCTGCACAAACCAGATGCTCTCCATTCATCCAGTGAGCTATCCATCCTTATCCTGCCTGCCTTCTATTTTGTCTGCCCCCTTTCTCTGCTGCCTGTGAGTGAAAGCTAAGTGCAACTAACACTGCTCCATCCTGCTTATCCTTGCCAAATTGCAAATGCATGCCATGGCATTGCATGACAGGGAGGATAACAAAAACATTAGCTTTTTTTATTCATATTGATAGTGAGATGGTGACTCCTCATAGATCAACGATTTGCATGTCATTTCTTGCACATTAAGGATGTGATGCAGATGCGGTCCCCAGATATTTTTTATTTTATATATGCCCCATTGTTAAGTGCCGACACTGATGTCCAAGTGTCAAGATTTCTGATGCGCTGGATAGTAAAGAATATATACTGCAAAGGGAGCATATACGGTGATGCGGAGTCTGGTATATATGCTCCTGTCCTGTGATTCTGTTCACCGGATCTATTTTTGCATTGTTCTTCAGCTGGGACATTGTTGTGCATGCTAGTGTGATTCTGAGGATTTTCAGTTGCCATCATCTTCGTATCCCTCTTGCCAAGGTGTTTGCTGCTGGGGGAGAAGCAGTATCAAATTGGCATGGGCGAAAGGTGGTACGAAAGGATCATGAACATGCTAGGGGCTGTCTTGAATTTGATGTAACGCTTCCTGACGAGAAACTGTCATGTGCACATGCCTCCCCAAATAGTGCTTATTAAAGGGACTTGTAAAGAAGAACAAAACACACACTGAACAATCCTGCAGCCAACTTGCAACACACGATAAATCAGGGTCTAAATCAGTCTTAGGTTTCTTCTTACCTGCAACTCTTCTTGAAAAGTTTCCTGGCTCGCAACAAGTTAATTCCTAAAACTTCAGTATCAGTAATATATACAAGATTAGACCATATTTAGAATAGGGGAATTTTTTACTATTCCTACATTTTTATGTTCCAAACGATTCTAACAAGGATGACTTTTTTTTAGGAAAAGAAATTTTTATTCCAGCCTCTGCATAAGTTACTTAACTAACAAGGATGACTGGAACCAAGGATCCGATGCTACTTGTCATATACTCGCTCCATTCCAAATTATAAATTATTCTATTTTTTAAGATACATAGCTTCTATATATCTAGATATAACATATACATAGATGCATAGCAAAAATTATATATCTAGAAAAGTCAAAATCACTCGCAATTGAAATGGAGGGGCGGGGGTATCATTATTTTTTCTTTTTGGCACTTGTCATCGCGTGACATGACAGCTTAAAATTTAAAATTATCTCAACAGCAATGGAAGAAAAGCATCAATTAAGTAGTTCTAAGACAGCAATCAGAGTAATAAAATAGAAAAAATGTCACGGTAGGTAAGCTAAGCATGTCATATTGTCAATGGCAGCATTTGTGTCATGGCAAGGCTACTCGTCGTTCGCCATAGCTCAGCTTAGCAGCAGCTTATAGGAGTACAAATCATGGGATTACCGAGAGGTTAAGGAACTATCTTAACCATATCACTGGGTCCATTCAGCACAACATTACTAACCACAAAAAGAAAAGGAAAATGAAGGTTAACTTAACCAGCAGGCCGGCGCTAATTGCCGACGCCAAGCAAGAAGCCGGCGGCGGGCCTGAGCCATGCAAGCATGGACGGCGACGGTGGGTCACAACCTGTCCTGCCTGCCGAGCCCTGACGGCGACGACGACGAGCCTCCGCCGTGGCCATACGCGCCACCTTTCCCGCCCAAGGCCATCTGGTGGTGCGGGGGCTGCGGGTACCCTGACGACGCGGCCGACGGGAAGCCGCCGTACATGGGCTGTCCCATCATCATGATCATGCCGCTCCCGCCTCCGCTGGCGCCGGCGCCGTACATGCCGTAGCCGCCGACGGGCCCGCCCGCGCCATTGTGTGGTGACGACGGCGTCGTCTCCCTGTGCGGCTGCGGCTGCGAGCCGCCGGAGAAGCCCGTGGCGGCCTTCTCGCCCTCGAGCTCGCGGAACTTGTGGAGGTAGAGCTTGAGCGGCTCGATGTAGTCCTCGAAGCCGAGCGTGGTCATGGCCCAGAGCAGGTCGTCGCCGTTGATGGTCTTGCGCTTCTCGCGCTGGCACTTGTCGGAGGCCTCGCCGGTGATGAAGGAGATGAACTCGGACACGCACTCCTGCACCGTCTCCTTGGCGTCCTTGGAGATCTTGGCGTTGGCCGGGAGCGCCTTCTTCATGATCCGGCTCACGTTAGCGATCGGCAGGAACCGGTCCTGCTCCCGCGGCGACGAGAAGTCCGCGTTGCTCGGCCCGCCGGACTCGTTGTCGGAGTCCGGCATCGCGGCCCAGCCACCAAACAGTACTGCCCGGTCAAGTCAAACAGCTCCGAGGAGGCTGACCAAAACGATCCAAACGCACTGCCTCCGAAGCAAGAACGTCACGAGCAGCGGCGGCGGCGCGAGCGCACCCAACGCATAGGAGGACGTGCAGAATCAATCTGGCCTGGGACTGGGAGGAGAGGAGGAAGAGGAGAGAGCAGGAGAGCAGCGGAGGCGGAGCGCGAGCTGGAATGGGAGGGAGAGCGGGGGAGGAGGGGTTTGAGAGCGGAGTGGAGAATGGGGCAGCGTTCGTCGGATGCATCGTGGGGATAAGAACGCATCGAGGGGGCGACGTGTCGCGCCGCCGGCCGTTTGTTTGTCGATAAGTCTCTGGGGGCCAGCCGGCGCCCGCCGATGCCGTCCGTTTCCGCCGCGCTGGCGAGGGCGGGGCCGTCCGCCGTCCGCGTGGGCCAGGGCGCGCGCGATCGGGTGCGTGATCCACGGGGTGGTCCCCGGGTGGCTGCCATGTAGGAGTGAGGACGTGGAGGGGGTGAGCCTGACGTGTCCTGGGTCCATTGACCCCTTGTGTGACGTGTCTTCGGCGCTACAGCAACGGCAGCCGCTAGGCGCGCTAGTTTCAACTGCAAATATCTTGGGAGATGGTGAGAGGTGAATTGACATTTAACACCATCAAGATTTTTCTTATAATAAAATTGCTACTGGAAGCATCCTATGATCGGCGCTAAGAACTATAGCGATGTCCGATGAATGCTACCGCCTAGTGGCTACTGGTCTTGACATACTTTGGTGGTTGTTTGCTTTTGGTTTCAAAATATAAATTGTTTTGGTTTTTTCTATTAATATATATCTAAACATAACAAGTATCTATAATCTAGATGTATAATAAAAATTATACACCATTCATTGTAAGTTCTCATTTCAAATTATAAATCATTATGATTTCTCTATTACTATATATCTAAACATAACATATATCTAGGTGTATAATATGAAATATTTATTACGGTTCAATCTTCGGAGGTGTTCGTAAGGGTTTAGAGTTAGCGTACGTTTGTTCATAGGGTTAAGTTAGCGTGCGTGTTGTGGGCGTCTGCGTTGTACTATGTAATTCTAAAAAAAATAGAGTAGTATTTACTAATTATAGGTTTTTAGTAGTATTTACTAATTAGAGGTTTTTAGTAAGAGCCTTAACATCGCGACATTAACATATAACAGGCCTGTTTGGATCAAGTGCTACTAATAATTAGCTTGCTAATAGCTAAAAGGTTACTAATATTAGCTAGTTCATACTTTCCTCGTTTTAAATTATAAGATATTTTTTCTAGATACATACTTTTTGCTATATATATATATATATATATATATATATATATATATATATATATATATATATATATATATATATATATATATATATATATATATATAGTTAAAACACCAATCGGGCAACAAGGCTCCTACGTATCAAAATATTGGCTAGTTGGACACGTCCCTATCCAAAATGATGCCACATCACCCACGCCACTAAACATGAGCATAGATCCAAAATAAAAACCATAGCCTTTGGCCACTAACGGCCAACCACTCCGAAAAACAGGCATTTTCTTTCTAGTGATGCAAAAGCAACCGACGCTGCTACTGGTCAAAGCCTCTACGACGCCTGCCAAGTGGCATCGACTGAAGTGCCCAAGTGCGTGCACTGCCCCTTTTGCATATTTCCTAGGTTTCACACTTGGATTTTGTACCTACTAGTGTCGGCTAATACTCCTTTGGTTCATTTTATCTAGCGCATACGTATATTAAGATTCAAACTTTAAAATTTTTGATCAATAATTAGGCTAATAATTTTTAACTATTATAATACAAATTTTATATGATTAGATTTGTAAGGAATTATATTATCCAATGATTATAAGTTTATAAGCATAAATAATATAATACAAAGCAAATGAATGGTCAAAGTGTAATCTAGGAGACCGTGTCATTCTAACTTGCGCCAGATAAAATAGACCGGAGGGAGTAATTGGTTTGAATTGATTTGAAAATACTACTCGGTAGCTCAGGATTTCGTTCGTTCTAATGAGCCAACAATATTGTCCCTTAGTTAAGATTAAACTTGGAGTATATAGTGTATCATTATTTGTGCGATTGTGCTTTGTTTTCTTTTAAGCGCGAGCTCAAAAGCCACAAATTTCCCGTATCCCTTTTTTAATGGGTGCTCCACTTGATCGATCCCACCCAATGACATGCCAATTTGCAACGATGAAATAAAGTTTGATTTTTCTTTGGCATGATTGTCCTTGGACCATGATCATTAGCGGGATACCGGGATTTGAACATTAATTTAGTACTCCCTTCATTCTAAACTATAAGCTGTTTTGGTTTTCTAGATATATGTTATGCTTAGATATATAATAAAACATACGTATGCATACCTAGCAAAATCAAAATGATTTATAATTTAGAATGCATTGAGTAGTACTTTCTTTGTTCTAAATTATATGATGCTTTAGGTTTTTTAGATACATTGATTTTATTATTATATATTCAAGTGCATAGCAAAAAGTATGCATTTAAAAAAGGTTGAAACGTCTTGTGATTTATAATGGAAGGAGTAGCTTGACGATCAATAATAATTTGGAGTGCGACAGGTACTGCTCGACCAGGTGGGGACCAAGCCCTTGCAGGTTACAAGTTCCTTTCCACATGGAAGATATCTACGGGCCGGCTGGGCAGGGTTAGTGAGATCTGTGGCTGCTTGTAACATCGCACGCATCGTCATTAAGCGGAAAAGTAAGCGAGACTATACAAAGCATAGTGATATCATGCTGACGGCCACATGGAACATGATCCCGTAGTTAGTGAGGAGAAAAGTGCCTGCTGCCTGCTGCCCTACCCATGTCATTATTCTCATATAATGTGTCAGAGTTTAAGTTTACAAAGTGTGGCGTACTGTGCACGGTTTATTTATTAGATAGTATATATCTATCTGAGACATTACTCCAGCATGTGCCGCGCCCTAGCTCGCCATGACACACGAACGAACGAGCCAGCTGATGGAGTGGTCGATGGGGATGTGCAGTGAAGCAGACAGCGATCGATGTGTTGGCTGTTTAGCAGTGCTAACTGGTAACAATTGGTTTTTGTCACCGTCGATCGGTCTGTGTCAGTACGTGCTTACTGTGCCCCCGGCTGCTGATCGACCATCTGTGATCTCCCAGTGTCTGCTTGCTGTCTCTTCTTCACTCTTCAGGTGTGCCAGAGTGACGCGTCGGTGCTCGCCACAGGTGGCAGTACTCGTTTCGTCCAGAAAACAACCGCAACCCCTGCCTGGTGGCATGCATGATGAGCTCGAAATATCTGGTAGCTAGATTGACCGATTCGATTGCGATGTGTGCTGTGTGCACCACCACTCTGCGATTGCAATATGTGGAGATTCAGAAGGAGATCCAACTGACGATCTGGCAGGATCATCATTTCCTTGGACTGATTGCACTTCGTTGACGAGGCAGTCACATCACGTAGTGATTTGACGGGGATTATGGCCTCGTTTAGATTGGGGTTATGAATGATGCATATCCGGTCACAATAAGCAACAAAATACGTAAAATTATAATACTTAGGCAATATATTTGTTCACAAATGTCATTGACAATTATTGTCAAATGTGTCCATGGTCTCAACCAAGTCCACAGCTCAACATAAACCCATCAAAGAGGTCGGATTCATCTCTTAATTTACAATCAAATTTGTGTAATTAGTTATTTTTTATCTAGCATTCTAACATTTAGGTCAAACTAATAAGGTATATATGTGTCCAAAGATTTGATGTGATGGAAAAAGTGAAAAAACTTACAATCTAAACCAGACCTATATATCTTGTGCAGTGCAAACAAGTGCAGTGGATTATTTATATTCGAGCTGAGGTACGTATGTACGTGCGGTGCAGTGCGTGAGGCCGGCCGTGACCGTGAGCGACGCCGCGCGCGCTCGGCCGGCCGGGTGGTTGGCGGCGTCCGGTGTGAGGCCGCGCGCGGACGGGCGGCGCCGGGGGATTAATGCGGATGACGTCGTCGTAGAGACGAAGCCGGCCGGCCGGCTGGCCGGCGGGGGTGGGTTCCCGGTCCACGAGGCAACTGGTGGTATGATAGCCGTAGCTTTCGTTCAGATGATGCATGATCTAACGCCATGAGGCTTGAGGCCGGCCGGATGCATGTCGTCAAGACGTGATTTTTCTAGGATTTTTTAGCGGCTGCGTCGATCTAGCTAGCTAATGGTCTATGGCCTGGCTCGCTCGCTGTGTGTGAGTTGACACGCTCTTGAAAGCGGCGTCAAGCATGAATTTCAAAAAGAAAGAAAGCGGCGTCAACCCAACCTTGTGCCACCTCGCGCTGTCGAACAAGAAAAGAAATCACCGTTCACCAAGCATGTGGCGACCTTGCTGCACAGATTTTATTAGTCAAATCTAGATCTCGCTTCGTACTGGTTTTATTTTTGTCAAATCTATATCTCGCTGCGTACGGTACTTGACATGATCGATGTGCGTGGTCGCCCGTTTCCTATAAGGACTGGTTTAGTTCAAAAATTTTGACCCTAAACTGTCACATCGAATCTTGCGGCACATGCATGGAGTATTAAATATAGACGAAAAAAAACTAATTGCACAGTTTTGTTGGAAATCGCGAGACGAATGTTTTAAGACTAATTAGTCCATGATTAGCCATAAATGCTACAGTAACTAAATAGTATTTTTCTCTCATAACAATTCAGTCAAGTTTCAGCAAGCCGAACGGATCCAAATAGCGACGCACGATTGCGCTCCACCATCATGGATTCATGATGTCCAACAGTGCATGAACTGTACCCACACAAACTGAGACACACTGTTGCGGCTGCATCTGCATGCAACAATATCTCTCATCTGCTGACTGCTGCGCAAAACATTGCTCCCTGTTGCGGATTCGCGTAGAGATCATACCAATGATGATCACACAGCCAAT